TGTGCTCTATCCTGTCAGTCATTTCCTCATATGGACAAAATGCTTGATAGTTCGCACGTTAAACTTTCTAACATATAATACACCAGAGTAATTACAAACAGGACTCTGCTTTTTCAAGAATGGCAGTTCTCAAATTGCTCACGCTCTTATTAATTGTGCACTTGGCGTATGGAGGACCACCAGGAACAACTGGAGATTTGAATAGTCCAAAACTCAAGGAGCTAGTGGAAAAAGACGCCAAGGTGATTTTGAAATACTGCAGAACGAACATTTCTATTCACATTTTTAAAGCAATATCTGGAATCCTTCGGCTACATGTCCAAGTTTAAAGCAGACAAGAAAAGCGAAAGCAAAACGCAAGAGCCGAGCAAGTACGACCTACAAACAGCGCTTCGGTAAGTTCATTACCAGTTAAATTATGAAAATCATTTTTAAAGATAAAAAAACACAAATGAAAACTTTGTTTCAGGCGATTTCAAAAGGCATTTTTAATATACCGTTCCGGTATTGTAGATGTTCCTACACATTCGAAAATGAACGAGTATCGATGCGGTAATAAGGATATGCACGAGGGAGAAGACTTAAAAGGTAAACAAAGAAGTATTGAGTCGTCAAATTCATGCCTTTTTTTGTAGAGCATAGAAATCAAAAATCGAAAATTTTATAGAATAGAATTAACTGGATTTTCGCATGCTCCATCATTACAAAGAATAGATACTACTACAGAATGGTTCATTTCGTAACCAAAGATGGCATGATTTAGATGATTTACAGTATTAAAAGTTTTGAGAGACATCACTTTTATGTAACTCGCTAAAATTTTGTTTAATTGAGTAATTGAACGCTGGTGAAGAAAATCATATTGATTGATTTTCCCAGCTACGCAAGAGGTTGTTAACAGATGCTAACGTTTCGGCGGGATCGCCTTCTTCAGAGCCTGAGATGTAAACACAATGCGATCTAGCGACCAAACGTCCTTTTAATCTCATAGACTAAATCTAAGACAGTTGGATCATTAGCGATCTACTAGACCAGATACTCACTCTTTGATAACGCCAGTTGTCTAAGTGGGGACCACTGATGATGCCTTTGATGCCTTCACTGGGTCAGAAGAGCTTACCCAGATAAGGAACGAGTTCCGGCGTGATTAGTATTCTTCTTTGCGATTCATTTTGGGTACTTTTGCGTGACAGTACCTCCAAAGTGTTGCGAGCTGATGTTCTTGTTAGCTAAGATCTTGATGTTCACTTCAAAATTCTCTCCTGCATTCTGTGAATACCCAAAGGAGTGGTGACTTACCTCTACCTTCCAGATGTTCCTTGATGCGGACGCATAGAGGGCGCGCGGTTTTGCCTATATACTGGTCGTTGCGGTTCGTGCATGAGATGGTAGCTGACTACCGTATGCATGTAATGCCTCTCCACCCGCGACAAATAACGGTTTGGTGTAACGCAACAGGACAGATACTCCGATTCATTTCTTCTCAATTGGCTAATACACGGATGTTCTCGGACCGTCAGCACCAAACGCGCATCAAGGGAATTGTGCCATGGAATCACTGGATGTTAGTGCTATATGTCTCCAACAATGACCCGAGCAGGCCGTTTGAGCTTCTCACAAAACATGAGAGTAGAATCAAACTTTACGGCTTATCTAAAGCTCATATGATGGTACTTCTCGAAGGTGTTTGAACTACGACATTTAGGGTCGGGTAAATATTTCGCGCAGGTTAGAGATTTGAATATGGGTCAGAGGTTGGCTCCTACGCTTACGATCGCTATGGCCAAAGTTGAAGCGCTCGCCTTAGAGTGCCGCCCGTTCAAATGGCTGTTACATAGACGACTGTTTCCTTATTTGTGCCACTCAAGAGGTCGATAGGTGCTTGAGTTGATGAACACGCAGCCAGAACATATAACTCATACGAGAGAGATTGAATAATGACTTGCTGCTATTTTCGGACGGCTAGATCAATATCTCTAGCGGCAATCATATAATAAGATGGTATCAAAATCCAGCAACGAAAATCATTCGCGTCAAAATAAAAAATTTGTTTCGCACGGCTTTTGAAGTGTGTAGTGGGACCGAGGAAAGGAGGGGGTCATTAGCACCTGTGCCTGTGATAGCAACTTTCAGGCTACAAAGAATGCTCAATTCATTACGAGAGAGACAGGAATAATGCTATCAAATGCTCGCACAGAAGGAGCTTGATCGCAGCAAGAAAATTGCCTTTTCTCCCTTCATCTCATGAAGTAAGCGCCGCACGTCGGTGTCTGAGGAGAGGCCTTGATTACTCAACTATGGTTGTAAAAATACCACCGAGCAACCTTAGGCACATTGCATGCGCACAGAGGTCCTCTATACCATCTCATGCACGAGGAGCGGCGACCAGTATATGGGCGAAACCGCTCAGTGGCAGATCTCCGGAGGGCAAGCCGGTTCGTTTTTGTGAAAAAAGCAAAGGGGAAATCGTATGGGTTCCAGAAAGGATCCTGGAGTTCAATCTAATCATGACCGTCTTTTTCACATCAAGAATATTGAAGCTCCATAAATACACACTTAAAGAACGTTCAGACCTGTTCCAGCAAAGGTTCAATTAACGTTTCAATGCGGGCGTTTGCGCGGAAAATTCAAAAGTCTCAAGAAATTTATAACCCGTTTTTTTAGGCGAATAGACAATGAGCAGCCGCCAAAATTGGCGCAAAGATGCGCAACAAAGAGTAGAGTGTTTGAAAAATCTTTGAAATATTATGAGAATGAAAAA